TGGTTGGTTTATTTTTTTTTTTTTTTTTTTTTTATTTCTTTTTTTTTTTTGTTTAATTTTTAAAAATCAATTTTATTTCCCCCAAACACTTGAATTTTTAGGTAGGGCCCCTTTGCCTTGCCATATGCGCAGTTTGGTGACCCCCTGAACCCCTTGGCCGCGGGGGCCCAAAATGCGCGGGCCCTGGCAAACCCTATTTTGCCTTGCGGTACCCGGCCCTGGGTGTTAGGCAGGTGTTGTGGTTGTGACCCATCTCGTAATTTAAAGGGTTTCCAATTTTTGGTGTCCCCAGCAACCCTAACATATACGTCCAAAACTTTAAATTTTTCCAGGTAACTGGTTTTAGATTTAATTTTTAATTTAATGTCAGGTCTAGTTTTTGTGAGAGTGGTGAAAAAGTGGGATCAGTGGTTACAGTTCGATGCCTACTGTGATTTAAGCCCCACTTATCTCACCCAATTACTTGAATAGCAATTCAGGTAATGCCCTGTAAATGTCTGAGGGAAATTTGCTCACATAATAATTCATAATGATTATAAAAGAATATTAAAAGAAATTAGATTAAACATCTCCCCATTCCCAGAAGATTTGGATTATGCTGCTCTGTCATGCCCCAATTTAAATTTCCGATTAATCCTGAGAGAGGGTTCGGGGGTCATGCCCCCACGCCCGATCTGTGACCGGGCCTGTAACCCGGCTTTTTACTGTGGCCCCCAAAAACCAACGTAAAACCACAGTCGGCTGATGGGGTCTGATTTAGATGCCTGTCAGACCCTTCTTAAAGAAGCCAAGGGTATATTGGAAAATCCCCTTGTGTTGCTGGGATGCAGTTAAACAGTCGGGCCCCCGGGACATTTTGTGTTGTCTCTTTTTGTGCTAGTGGTCCCTGCTTTTCATTGGGGGGATGTTGATCGCTGCTAGTCTGTACTTTCATAGGGATTATTTTGTGTGAAAATTTTGGTAATCCTCTAGGTTTTTCCAAATGTTTATCAGATTCTCCCCCTTCCGGGGAAATAAAAATTTTGGGAGGAACTTTCCCATTCCCAGTAATTTTAAGTGTTTTTGTACTTATGTGTCCCGGAATGTTCTTTGTGCATTTTCTAGGTCAGCAATTTCACCTGCCTTGAAAGGCGCTTTTAGGTGCAGCAATTTTCCCCAGTCCGATAGAACAAACTACTAAAGGTGTCATATGGGGGGATCCTAGTTTTAAAGGTTCTCATTACCATCCTGTCATTTTTTGGCAGATGCTATTGATATAATGTGATCTTTGAAAGTGAGATCCTCTGACATTTTCACCCCCCGGTCCTTTACAAAGATTTTTGCTTTTTGTGTGGATGGAATTTGTTTTATACTTGATATAGAACAAATTTCAACACAAAATAGAGCGAAAAATAATGTAAAGGCCTGGGAGTGATAATTTTAGACGAACTCACTTTAAAAGACCACAAAAATGTATTTCCCAATTGCTAAAAAAAAATATACTAAGCGAATTTAGTGTTTTAAAAAATTTATTTTTAAATGGGGAATGCTTGCTGTGAGGGAAACCGGACACAACAGTCCGCAATGTTGGGGGCTACTTCCCCCCACCAAAATACTCCCAGTCACAGGGGGAATGTCCCCGTCTAGAGAACACCCCGAAAAAAATACCTTAATACTGGTGAGGGCTTATTTAGTTATATATCCCCTCCGACATCTAACTTTTCTCAAGCCCCCTTTGGGAGTTTCTACGATTTTTTTGTTCTTCCCACTTTTGTGCCCTCTCGATCCCCCTTTTTTTAATCATTCTGATCTTTTTCGAAAAGCCCTTGCGGTTTTTTTGTTGGTTTTTAACCCTTGTTGTTCAATTTTGCTGTAGTTTTTTGGACAGTGTTGTACAGGTCATTTGTTTTATCAGTAGCATCTTAGCTGAATTTTATGTCATTCTATCGTGTTTAATTTTTTGATCCCCCCCTACTTGGCATTTTAGTAGTTTTTTAGATTCCTTTAGTGCTTTGAGGCATTCCAAACATTTGATTCCCTCATCCAATAGGTCTCATTACAATTGGTTGTGCTGCATTTCAGTAAAAAAAAAAGACAGTTTTTGCGGGTCCCCGGACATTGGTGTTCGGGGCAAAAAGCAAGGACTGCTGGCGGTCACCCTCAAAGGGAAAGGTTCCTTGTTTTTTGGTGAGGGGCTCTTGATTTAGGGAATTGGATCTTGTCCCGTTCCCCCCAATTAAGCCTGAATGCCTTCCACATCCCCCCCCCCAGGGCTGTATAATCCCCCGGGGTTTTGCGCTTCCCCCTTGTTATAAAGCTGCGCGGTCGTGTTATAATCTCATTTATTTGGGTTTTCTTTGGACTTTTTTGAAGTGATCTCTAGACAGTAAAAGCCTGGTTAATAGGGCCCCAATCCACATAAACCCGGTCACGACCCCGGGGCCCCGGGGGGGTTGATCCCCCCGAAACCCTCTACAGTATAAAAGTTCCACCGTGAACGTGGTGTTCTGGGCTGATTCATAATAAATTTTCGATGTTAAAACCCTTTTTTAGGTTTTTTGGTTTTTTATCTCGTGTCGTGTTCTGCTAGCGTTTCTTTTTGATTACGTACTATTCTAATAATTCGCTCTCCTGCCTTCGTTCGGACCAAAACGTCTGTCTTGGGTTTCTATGGAGAAACACCCAGTAACACAGAGAATGTAAGTCGTTTTCATTTTCATTATAGTGGCTGTCCGTCTACCGACCACGCGAAATTTTCCTCCCGGGGTCCCCCCCTCTAATACTTTTCTTTTGTAACCCTTTCCGACAGCCCACTTAGCGCAGATTCCCTCTTGCTTTTTGTCAGAAAAGCTTTATTACACAACTTTGATTTATTTTTTTTTTAGCACTTTTTCTACCCCCCACCCAATTGTTTTAATACTCCCCACTCTTCATGCCAGTGCAGGTGGGGCGGCCGGGAAGCGGAGTTATACGCCCTGGAGGGAAAAAATTTTATATTTTAATAGTATCTTTTTTTACTATCCCCTCAAGGGAAAGGGTTTATAAAATTATTTTTTATATTTATTTATACTCGAAAGATCACAGAAACATGACAATTTTTAAAAATTTTCACATTACTGAACTGTATGACCCTGGTGATTTAGCGCTTAGTTTTGATTATAATAATAATCCACATTACTGAAAAGCAATTAACTCTCGGGAGCCGGAAGGATGGGCTCAATACACTTGTGCCATGGAGGCCCCAACTCCAACAACAATAATATATAATAATATCTTTATTTAGTACAAGTACATGTACAAGGTATACAGTCCTAGCTGACATCAGTGACATACTACTATACAGAAACTCGCTTATTATGTAGAGCATTTCGGGCAAATTAGGTCAGTTTTGTCCCGGGATGCGACCCACACCAGTCCACTAACACCCAGGTACACATTTACTAATGAGTAAACAGGGACAGCAGGTGTCATGGAAACACGTCCTAATGTTTTCCAACCATACCGGAGATTCGAACTCCGGACCTCAGTGTGTGAGCTGAGTGCGAACTCCGGACCTCAGTGTGTGAGCTGAGTGCGCTAGCGATCGAGCTACTGGACACTATTATATCAGTTTTATACTGTACTTTTTAGAAATAGGGATTATCATTATCAGTGTCCTCGGACTTTTGTGGCGGTGGTGGAGTGCGGACGTCTTGCTCTACCCCCTTGTCTTCAACACCAGTGTCTGATCCCCCCCCATCCCTATTTCTTTCCTTGACACGTTTGTCCTCATCAGACATAATTTTTTTCAAGGCTGTATTCACCCCCAAAGTGCTTTGAAGCCGGTTCTTGGTGCAGGGAAATGGAGCTAATCTCTCCTTCCTTTGATCAAATCTGTCTCCTATTCTCCAAACGCTTAAAGACCCATAAGCTGTTAGTGATTCCACTATGATCGTAGTAACAATAACCAACAATTTTTTTTTGAGACATTTGGAGGTCCTGGATGTCTGCGACAACCTTTGTGGTGCCTTGTCTCCTTGGTCTGACCTCGCCATCCATGACATATATTTCCCATTCTCCGTTGGACGCTTGTCCTCATAACCTCATAAGGTATATTTTTTGAGATTGAATTCTATATTTCATTGTGTACATTACCTGCATGATTTAATTGTAAAATATGAAATTACTAATGTTTCTAGTGTTACTCTTAGTTATGTAACAATGTCCAGTGAGTCTGATGAAAACAACAATACAAATACAAATAGAAATATTTATTTCCTTGTAAAACTTACAATGTGTGGTTTACATATTATAAGATTTAAATTATAAAGATGGCCACTATCGTGCCTAGGCACTTGAGGCAGACTAATACTAATTCTTACGCTATTTTGATATAGGTTATATTGAGCATATTATTGAACATATTATTAGGTACTTAATTAGATATATTCTCAGTTAGGTACATACATAATTAGGTTTAAAATAGTTAGGTATTGAAATCATTTAATATTAGTACAAATGACAGATTTAGTAATGGGATTCGATTTTTCTTGGCATGATACATTGTTTTTATTAAATTCATACCGGAGGAGTATCTTATACTAACTTAGGATTAACTTAAGATTTAATAAGACTAAAATAAGACTTAATAGGTAATAGCTGTGTAATCCTGCTGTTTACCGCCCACAGATGAGCATAAGATACATAACAAACTAGCCTCTCAGGCGGCACAACAACAAATAACAATAATATTCTACCCACAAGGTACATCACAGGTCGGGGCACCGTTCATCACCTCAATTGTCTGCTCAGCTAATAGTGTACGGTTTTGGTAGTAAGCCGGTTGCTGACTCAAATGGATGTAGGTGTTCCACTCTGCTGAAACTTAAGCAAGGGAATCCACCTGATGTAACTGGTAACTTCTTGGTTTCGTTTCTATTTTTAACGGGAACTTCACTGCCCTGCACTAGGTAATATTTCTTCCCCGGATACCTGAAGCTCTGCTTGGTACGGCGCAAGCGTCAGTGGCCCTGTAAACTCTCACTCAACAAGAAGTGGTGGGGACTTCTCACTTAGTTTCACCTTATTTACATGGTCATAATATAGCTAGTGAAGCAGCTGCATTGGTATTTAGCTTCAAGGCAGCTAACCGTGACCCGCTGAAGTCTCTAGAGCAGCTGTCAGGAAAGATCTCGCCAGCTAATTTAGGTAAAAAGGGATTAAGGGCGATGAACTTGTGTACTCAGGGCGTCCCTGGGTACACGACCTCCCATACTTCCAGGATGCCATCACTCAATCAAGTTTATTCTCTATAAGGATTACAATGCGTGGTTTACAGATTTTGGTTATTCAGTACTACCCCAGCTCTTACGAGGTTGTTAGTCTTTATTTGTTACTGACAGGCTATTTTTTTCATCGAAGTGCAGTGAAAATCTGTCATATTATGGCTTTATTTTGTTATGTTAAATCTAGTAGGATTACTGCACCATTTTGAGGGTGAACATTTTATTTGGATTAGGTAACTTGAGGAACAGGTAGACATTAGTTACACAAATTTAGGTGATTGCAATTATCATATATAGTAACGTGTGTGTAAATTACCAAGGATAACCCATTAAGTCAAATTGACTTATTTCCAATGGGGTCCATAACCGGAGGGTTAGTAACCCCAGGATAACCCAATAAGCCTATGTCATCAGACTGTCATAGTTCTACTGGCACCAAGATGCGACCCACAATAGATACAGTAATTATTTACTGCTAGGTAAACAGGGGTAGCAGGTGTAAGGAAACATGTCCAAGTAAGTTTATATTTAGGTTAAACACTTGCCATATCATATATTTCATTTCTGTTTGTAAATGCTCATCACTGTTTTGCACTGGCTTCTCCATGTAAATACTACTGCTTCTTTGTTACTTCAAATAATTGAGTCCCTTGCCATTCGACATAAGACCCCAGTACGTATTGACAACTGTAATGTGCAGAGTACAGTACTACATTGAACTACATATGCAAGTGTTATTAGTATAACAGTACCGTACTATAGAAAGGGAGGGAGGCTTTAAACTCTACATAGCATTAAGCATGCAGTTTGGGTACACCACAGTGCTCTAATATTTTGAAAGTGAGGCATAAATAATAATTGATTACAAACAATGGAATAAGGTAATGTCATTTGTGAAGCCTCATGTATGTACCATTTTGGGCGAGATTCAGGCTAAAAAATTAAAGAGTATGTACGTAGATGTGAGTTGCAGTAAAAATTAGTAATTGTACTGTACAAGTAACTGTAATATACACTACAACCTCTAAATTTACAGAAGCTAGGTTCCAAGAGAGGCCCCCACATCCCCATAAATCCAGAATCTGAGAATACTACTAAATACTGTCTAATATTTGTTTTTCAATATTGGACTCTTACTTGTGTTTTAGAGGCAATATCACTAAAAACTGATATGACCTCACTAATTATATTAACAGTCATAGGAAGGACTATCCAGGATGAAAAGGGATGTGGCATTGAACACCCAGTGAGCACATTTTACTGGCACACCTATGGCTGTTTTCAGTGTGAGGATCATACATCAAGTTTAAACAAAATGGGCACTGCAGAATCCCCATGAATAATCAGAAGTATTTGTAGGAGAGCCCTTCAGAGATAATGTTGGATAATTGAAGCACATGCAAGCATGTGTGAGCGTGTTAGATAGGAGTGAATGGAGACGAATGGTTTTTGGGACTTCACGAGCTGTTGGAGTGTGAGCAGGGTAATATTTTGTGAAGGTATTCAGGGAAACTGGTTAGCGAGACTTTAGTCCTGGAAATGGAAGTAGAATGTCTGCACTTTAAAGGAGGGGTTTAGGATATTGGCAGTTTGGAGGTATGTCTAAATTGTCATATCTGAGCGCCTCTGCAAAGACAGTGATTATGTATGAGTGATGGTGAAAGTGTTGAATGATGATGAAAGTTTTTTCCTTTCTTTTTGGGGTTTTCTTTCTTTTTGTGTCACCCTTCCTTGGTGGGAAATAGCTAATGTGTTAAAAAAAATGTTTGGAAAGCAGTGGATTTGTTAGCTTGGTGGCTAATGCTCTCACTTCACACGGTGAAGGGTCTGGGTTCGATTCCCAGCCAGAGTAGAAACATTGGGCGTGTTTCTTTCCACCTGTTGTCTATGTTCCTCATCAGTAAAATGGGTACCTGGGTGTTAGTCGACTGGTGTGGGTCTCGTCCTGGGACACTGACCTAATTTGCCAGAAATGCTGAGCACAATAAGGGGCTTTCTATATAGTCAGCTAGGCCTGTATACCATGTACATGTACTTGTAGTAAAATAAAGATATTATTATATTATTTTTTTTTTTATTATCACACTGGCCAATTCCCACCAAGGCAGGGTGGCCCGAAAAAGAAAAACTTTCACCATCATTCACTCCATCACTGTCTTGCCAGAAGGGTGCTTTACACTACAGTTTTTAAACTGCAACATTAGCACCCCTCCTTCAGAGTGCAGAATGCTATTAACAAAGGTGTACCCAATTACTGTACATTCCTAATATTTACAGATACACAAAGAAAAGCCTTGTCACTGGGAAAACTGTCATGCCCATTGCCACAATGGACAAATCAGGGCCAAATGCTGATGTGGAGATGACTGTTGTGAGTGATGATGACACTGACAAGGGTGAGTGTTGGCTACAAGATGCTTCCATCATACCTGATAGTCTCATCTCTTAATAAATCTCATTTCTCCATATCAAGGGCATAATTACATCCAATGTGTTTTAATATTTACATACACCCTTTCATGAGTGTTTTACAACGATAGGAAAGTATATTCAGCACTGAAAAATAGATATTAAAAATATCTGTTTCCAATATCATTAGGTCATATCATATGACCTCTTCAGCTGAAGAGGCCAAGTGATATGGTGCAATCATACTTGGTCCAAATCTTTGTTAACAGTTGTTTATCATATACTCTCACATGTCCTTGACATTTAGTACATTTAATAACTAAATCCATGCATCAGTCTGGAAATCTGTGCTTCTTTCTTCCCCTCAAGGAAGATTCCTTGATGCTGGTGAGGGGCTCTTGATCTAGGGAATTGGATCTGTGCTCCAGGTCCCTAAATTAAGCCTGAATACCTTCCACATTATCCCCTCCCACAAGTGCTGTATAATCCTATGGGTTTAACACATCCCCCTTGATTATAATAATATGCTTCTTTCTGTAAATCTGTGGCTTATTCTGTAAATTAGTTTGTATTGAGAGCTGCACAGTACTGTCATTGTCAGGGTTATTTGTGTAGGAGTTTTATCATTTGGTGATGAGAGATAGCATTACATGACAATAGGTTAAGTAGTGTTAATGTCTGATTTTCTTTTCAGGTCATCATGTTCATTTTTCTGAAGACACGGATGAATTAGGTAACACAGCTATAACCATTAAAGAAAAAGCAGTAGGCTCTGATTATGAAGCTCATGTTGGCTTCCTGCAGGTATGTAATAGATGAAACTCCAGTAAGTTTCTTATAGAAAAAGAATAATCTAATTAAAACTTTAACTCTCTTGACACCAGTTAGTTCATTAAAGATATGTGCTTGTAAGTCTGCTGTTGATCTGTGTCTAGACATACAACTCATAGAAAAAAAGAGCTTCATGATTTCAATAAACCACTATGTAATAATTTAGATCATAAGAACATAAGAAAACAGGAACACTGCAGCAGGCCTGTTGGCCCATACTGGGCAGGTCCTTCACAAATCCATCCCACTAAATATTTCTCCAACTCATTTTCGACGCTACCCAAGCAATAAGCTTTGATAAATTTATTTACTCGTGCAAGTCCCACTTAAATTCAACTCTTCTCACTTGTGTATTTGTCCAGCCTAAATTTGGGTAGCAAGGTTTTACCTTCAGTAACCCTACTAGGCAGATTGTTCCACTTATTAACTACCCTGTTTCCAAACCAGGGTAGTGTTTTTATTCCCCATGTGGCTGACAGGGTAGTGGTGATCAACTAATAAGTCTAGTGGGTCATCTGATAAAACTAGTGTCTGTATTAAAGGAAGGCTACATTGTATTATGTAATATAAATTATTTGAATAAATAAGGTTATTCATATAAATTAGGAACTAGCAGTTTTCACTAAAAGTTTTTTCAATTAAGATGGTTCTGTCTTAGCATCTCTAATTTTAGTACAGTACATGTAAATTTATTCCTTAAGTTCTTTTATTTTTCAGCTTTCCCATCGGTATCAGATTTCTGTCATTTTACCACTGAATGATGCCAGTGATGGATACGAAATAGGAGACTTTCGCAGCGTTTATTGCCATGCTGAAAGCCTACAGGTAAGCTAATTGAAGCAGGTCCCCAACTTATGACGTTTTTTTTGTTTAGGAAAATTGTCTGTAAGTCGATTGTTTAGAACTCAGAATCTATTTTCCAAGTTACTGTGATAGTACATTTTGTCAAAAATAAAATGCTTAATAAAAGTTGTTTTACTGTAAATATTGACTCATTAAATAAAAGTTTAAATTGTATTATATATGCCATAATACTTGAATTTGTATTGTTATTTTAACAAGTCACAGCTGTGCTATAGTATTTTATTTCAACAGGAAATCAAAACTGGTGGACTTGAGGTAACATTTCAATTGTTAGCTCATAAAGAAAAGTTGATGCGGGAGAAGATAATCTTACAGAGGCCCACAGGGGGTGAACTCAAGCTTACTATTCTTGCTCGAGTTTTAGGTACGTAATGACACGATTGCAGACAAAACACCGTACGGATGGGGATTGAGTTTTACAGCACACTTGCCGTGATGTTTGGTAACTTTAATAAACAGGAAACCCTTGGTTTAATGTACTTTAGAAATAGAGGACAAAATCTGCTGGGTCACTTGATTCAGAAACAGTGGACAGAGTCCGTTGGAATTGCCAATTTCTGACCACTTTACTGGATAGTTGAAATCAGTAAATGGGTAGTTTCTTGTACTCATTCGATAGAACAAATGGAGTTCTAGCAAAATAGTTATGATTTTTGTCGACTGATACATTGGAATTGGCTGAAAATAGGGCTCAAAGTGGGCAAAATTGCCCATGCATAAACATTGTCGAGACCATTAACTTTGCAAGAGCATAATTCCGTAAGTTTTCCATCAAATTTCATACTTTTGGTGTCATTATGATTAGGAAAAGATTCTCTATCATTTCATAAGAAAAAATAATTTTTATTTTTTTGAAAAATTTTCAACTCTGAGAGCATGTTTAGGAAAGGGCCTCTTGACCCTGAAAGGGTTAAAGTGCAGGCACTGTACTTCCCATTTCCAGGACTCAAGTCCGGCTAACCAGTTTCCCTGAATCCCTTCACAAAATATTACCCTGCTCACACTCCAACAGCTCATCAGGTCCCAAAAACCATTCGTTTCCATTCACTCCTATCTAACATGCTCACGCATGCCTGCTGGAAGTCAAAACCCCTCGCCCACAAAACCTCCCTTCAACCTTTTTGGGGACAACCCCTACCGCGCCTTTTTCTCCTACAGATTTATACACTCTCCAAGTCATTCTAATATGTTCCATTCTCTCTAAATTTCCAAACCACCTCAATAACCCCTCTTCAGGCCTCTGACTAATACTTTAAGTAACTCCACACCACCTCCTAATTTCCACACTACGAATTCTATACATAATATTTACACTACACATTGCCCTTAGACACGACATATCTGCTGCCTCCTGCCGCCTCCTTGCTGCAGCATTTACAGCCCATGCTTCACACCTATATAAGTGTTGGTACCACTATACTCTCGTACATTCCCTTTTTGGCCTCCATGGATAACGTTCTTTGTCTCCACAGATTCCTTAATGCACCACTCACCTTTTTTCCTTAATCAATTCTATGGTTAACCTCATCCTTCATAAACCCATCCGCTGACAAGTCAACTCCCAAATATCTGAAAACATTCACTTCTTCCATACTCCCTCTCTCCAATGTGATATCCAATTTTTCTTTATCTAAATTGTTTGATGCCCTCATCACCTTACTCTCATCTATGTTCACTTTCAACTTTCTACATTTACACACCCTCCCAAATTTGTCCACTAATGTTTGCAACTTTTCTTTAGAGTCCCCCAAAAGCACAGTACCATCAGAGAAAAGTAACTGTGTCAACTCCCATTTTGTATTTGTTTCCTCATAATTCCCAATATTGATACTTATATTTCCATCCACTGGGACACTTATCCTTGCTTGTTGTGACAGTGTATCAAAAATTTTCTTTATGAATAGTGATGCAAAAAAGTAATTAGTTAATAAGTAGTTTGCCTCCTTGTCATTTTCCAGGATTTCCCATCATATTTTCCCTTCAAGAAGTAAAATCTACACATTTTTTTTTTCAACGCACTAGCCGTCTCCCACCGAAGCAGTTTTCCCTTCAAGAAGTAACATCTACACTTTTTTTTTTTTTAACACGCTAGCAGTCTCCCACCGAAGCAGTGTGACCCAAAAAAAGAAACATTTTCACCATCATTCAACACTTTCACCTTCTTTCTTTCTTCAACAAACCAGCCGTATCCCACCAAGGCAGGGTGGCCCAAAAAGAAAAATGAAAGTTTTTCTTTTTAAATTTAGTAATTTGTACAGGAGAAGGGATTACTAGCCCCTTGCTCCTGACATTTTAGTCGCCTCTTACAACACGCATGGCTTACAGAGGAAGAATTCTGTTCCACTTCCCCATGGAGATAAGAGGAAATATATAAGAACTAGAAAGAAAATAGAAGAAAACCCAGAGGGATGTGTATATACATGCTCGTACATGTATGTGTAGTGTGACCTAAGTGTAAGAAGAAGTAGCAAGACGTACCTGAAATCTGCATGTTTATGAGACAGAAAAAAGACACCAGCAATCCTACCATCATGTAAAACAAATACAGGCTTTCATTTTACACTCACTTGGCAGGAAGGTAGTACCTCCTGGGTGGTTCCTGTCTACCAACCTACTACCTACACTTTCACCTTCATTCACACACAATCACTGTCTTTGCAGAGGTGCCCAGATGTCACAGTTTAGATGTCACTCTCATCTCTTGCTGTAAACTACTCTTGAAAATATTGTACAGTGTAGTTAAAGCACCACAGCATCTTCAACACTGCACAGATCCAGGAAGCTTCTCCAGCCATTGCCTTCAAAAGTTAATCAACTTTTCATACTGTTTAGACAAAATCAAATGTGGCTTCTGATTCTTCAAATGTATCAAAAATATCAAGATTTCAAAATCTGTTGGTAGTTGTGTTGATGATATAGCTAGACTGTGGTGCTTGTAGCAGGGATTCTTGTTAAGTCTAATAACCTGTGTGTGGATGATAGAATGATTGGCACTGTTATTGATTTGTCAGTCTGATTGACTAAATAGAAAAATCTAAATTACAAAATAGTCCAGTTTACTGGTTTTATTAATGAATAACTTCAAGAGTGTATCAGTCTGTAGTGGAAGGAAGGCGGGGTAGGGGTCGGCCTAGGAAGGGTTGGAGGGAGGGGGTAAAGGAGGTTTTGTGTGCGAGGGGCTTGGACTTCCAGCAGGCATGCGTGAGCGTGTTTGATAGGAGTGAATGGAGACAAATGGTTTTTAATACTTGACGTGCTGTTGGAGTGTGAGCAAAGTAACATTTATGAAGGGATTCAGGGAAACCGGCAGGCCGGACTTGAGTCCTGGAGATGGGAAGTACAGTGCCTGCACTCTGAAGGAGGGGTGTTAATGTTGCAGTTTAAAAACTGTAGTGTAAAGCACCCTTCTGGCAAGACAGTGATGGAGTGAATGATGGTGAAAGTTTTTCTTTTTCGGGCCACCCTGCCTTGGTGGGAATCGGCCAGTGTGATAATAAAAAAAAAAAAAATGCATTTTTATTTATAAAATCAGTGTTATGTATCAGTAATCTCATATAAGTTTTTAATTGTCTTTGGATGTAGGAAACCTTACAAAAATTTCAGCAAAATGGTAACTACCTTTCATTGCAGGTAAAGGAAAAGGAACACCAATGTTACGTGACTGCATAAAGTGCATCAGTGTTGAGCATGATGATGAGTCGGAAGCCTCTGACTGGCAAGGCTTCACCTAGGTGTTCAAGTACTGCACACAACTTTGCTCAGATTCTCCCATAATTTTGCTGAGAATTCATCCCATAATTGTGCCAAGTATTCTCCTCTTATTGTTATTTTTAAGGTCTGTATTTTGTATTATGTTCCAGTAGAAGTACTATGTAATTGTATCCTCATCTATAATATGTTGGTTGCATATTAGCTGCAACTGTATAGAATAAATTATTGTCTTTTAGACATTTCCTAATCTGTTATATAAAACTTATTTTCCCATTCCCAATCAAGTGGTTATGTAATTTCAACTCAGCAGTCTCTTATGGTTATACATTACTTACCTTAATTCATTATTATGAGTTAGTTGCTCAGTGATATTTTGAAATAATTTTGATGAATTATCTTGGAATTCTTGGTAAGAAACTATAGTACAAAGACAATCTAACATTTGCCGAGAGTTAGGTTCCTAAAAGTTCATGAAGATTAAAAAATCTGAGACCACCATTAGATTCTGTCTGAGTGGAGACAGGACACACATTGCAGGACAAGCCTTCATTGGGAAAAATGTTAATCTTAATACTTGTAATAAAGAATGACAAGACAGAAATTAGGTAGGGGTGTAGGAGATCCAGTGAGCACATGTTCAGTGAAATCCTATAGTTGGTTTTCAGTTTAGAGGTCATGTACCAGTCCAAAATAAAATGGGCACTATAGAAAAACTACAAGTAATGAAAGCAGGGAACCCTTGAGCAAAAAGGTTGAATAATAAAAGCATGTGAATTTAAATGGTCTTGAATTCCATGGCTTGATTGTATGATGTTTCATAATGCAGCTCCCATGCATTTAGGACAAAGAATAAATTCATGGAAAAATTGTACTCTTGGTAAAAATTAAAGCAGTACAGAGAGGTAATGCATATAATAAAGCTGAGGATAGTTGAAGTACAGTATGTATGTACCATACATCATATTGAAAATAATTTAATTTAATTGCTTATATCTCTGCAACCAATATGCATATTATTTTAATGCATAAAATAATAGCAATATTATTTTCACAAATAAATACTCTTGTTTATAATCTGTTTACAGTTTAGCTAAGCAGTCTGTCACAGCTTACATGCGGAGCTAGGATTACCCATGAGGTTTGTGCAGTGATTAATACTTTGGTAGTGCATAAACAAAATAGAGGATAAAATAGTTGAACACTATTAATAGGGCATCTTCCAGGTCAGGAGCTTTGAACAGCAGCAATGCCATTAAGTTAGAAATCATATTTTGTGTTAAAAGAGCTTAGACCTGTTAATTTTTATATAAAAGGATGACTTCCTTTTAAAACTGAGTTGTCATTACATAGTTTGCTAGGGAGAAGTGAAGCATTTCACCTTCACTATAAAAGTCTAATCCATATAGTAGAATTTGCATGAGTTATATACAGTATACACAATATATTTGTGTTGTTTTAAGTACTGTACTACTTTTCCAGCCTATTCTTGCACCATGTGTGAAAAATGTTCCAATTTAAAAGTTTCCTGGCATTCTTCAACCATCTTGTTGCCTAATGTATTTTGGCCATTTTTTAATTATACTTATTGTAGATAATATGCACCTATATAGATTTTAGTGAAGTAACTTAACCCAGACTAACCTTACCTAAAATAAAGAAAATGGTGTATGAAAATTTGCAAGAAGCGTTAGGAAACTGATGTTGGGCACCATGTTAGGAAACTGATGTAGGGTAAGTTGAGAGTAAGTTGCTACGTATATAGCAAGTTAAGTATTTACTGTAATGTTTTTACTAGGAGTCATCACGCAAGCCAGTGTCTTGTATTCTTTATACAGATACTATTTCAATTAAGTAAACCCTTGATATAATGGAATAATAGGGAGGGGCAAGTGGATGGTAATGGCTATTGTAGTAGGTAGAAAAAGATTGTTCATTGTGATAGTAACAATAACAGACAATTCTGTAGCCATTGGACTTTGTCCGTTGTTTCTGAGTCGATTGACCCAGCAAATTTTGCTATGTATTTCCAAAGTCCATGGAGGTTCATTATATCGTGGGTTTATTTTAATAAGCACAATGTGTGAGATTGCTTGGATATATGGAGTTGTTGTGGATTGCTAAGTGAGGGTTTAGGAGGGAAGGTTTTTGACTAGAGCATGGCAGTTCATTATAGTAGATTCCTTCAACATTCCCATGGGGTCTTTGTCTATAGCTAAACTAATTGAATACAGTAACTGTGATGCAGTTGTATTGAGCTAAAGTAAAAGTCCAGTTGTTTTTTGGAAGTAGTCTGTTGACTAATTTTAAGCAGAAATTTATTAAATTATCAATATTGATGTAACATATTTTTATATAAAAAAGAAGCATACACATTAAGGTTATACTAATGAATCTGGTATCCAGATAGTATATATAATCTATCAAGAATGAGTACATTAGTCTGTTGTTGAATCTAATCTAACAGTAAGATAATTATTCAAGAACTAATACATTAGTTTGATGTTAACCCTAACCTAAGAGAATTTCGTGTTGAACCTAACCTAACAACTTAATCAAGGATTAGTACATTAGTCTAATGTTGAATGTAAATACATAGAATAACTCAGGTCTCTTCATGACACCACTCACACTCTTTGTGGACACTTGTCATATTGATATTTTTATGACATAAGTGTACCATTTAATCTCAGCCATAAATCAAATATTTTTTGCCCAGTGATGTATAATAATGGCAGTGATGTACAATAATGTCAGGAGAAAAGCTGTAATTAATTTTGGAATGCTGGACAGTACTATACTGTAGAATATGTATTAGTTTTGCAGTCTTTTATACAGCATACCAGTTCACCGTATTTGGAATATATCTTCACACTATTGTATATTTATCTCATTTTCATTAAAAATATATACAGTAATTCATGAAAATATGATAGGTTATCTCCTCAATTTTAATGGTTTATAATGTTTGAAAACTTTAAATAAAAAGTACTCTGTAAGAATGATGAGAAATGCCAGTAGCACACTGCAGTTGGATACATTATATACATAATGTATAAAAGATTGAGAGAGACGTGCTGATCACATTTTTGGACTACAAGTTCATATTTAACATTTTCTGATTTTTGGAGTAATTTCTGTGATTTGTGTTTTGCTGGTAAAATGCCTAAGAGAAAAGCACAGCTTATGGTAAACCTCAGTGCATGGGAATCTACAATTGGCTTTTGCAAAATTATTTTGTTTCAGATTCGATATCTAAATATCATTTTGCTCTGGTGGATATTGACATTAATAAGAATGACCAGAACAGAAAGATTTAGACTTGGTGAAACCAACGAGGACATTTTAAATGAAATCTTATGGTAGTTTTCAATTTAATGGTCACACCCACAAAAATGGGTGCATTTGGAAAAATGAGAATCAAATTTATTCATGGATTACCCACCCATAAAAAAGTTGGATGAAAAAATTCCTTTAATTGTGAGCCCCTGTGAGTTTGTGGGGTTGACTGCACTCTGTGCCCTTTTCTTATAACTGGATTGAGCTATGGTTGAGAATATGTGGTAGTACTTTCATCACCTTATTTGATTCTTCATTTGCTTGTAATTTTTTCCTTATTCGTGCATTAATTAAAGTACTACAGTGGTACCTCGAGTTATGAACTTAATTCGTTCCAGAAGGCTGTTCGAGTGCTGATACCAAACGAATTTGTTCCCATAAGGAATAATGTAAATTAGATTAGTCCATTTCAGACCCCCAAAAATACACTTACAAAAATACACTTACATAATTGTTCGGGTTGGGAGCTGTTCAAAACTCGAGGTATCACTGTACTGTATATCTGTTTAATATAATGACAAACTATTGATGTTTTTCTGTGTAATGGTTTATAATAGTATAGAGTTATTGATGTTGTGTCACAATATAGAGAAGTGGTTCCCAAACTGGTGTACACATTCCCAGGGATGCACAAGGTCTTCTGAGGATGTACGAGAAAAATCATGTAATGGTGGACTGTATATTTTAAGGATTTCAATGAGCACATTTATCTAGTGGTGGGATAAAACTTAGGCTCATTATGGAATTATCATCACAACTGACTAATGAACAAAATGAATACAATTGATTGAAACTCAGTGTACCTCTGATCTTTGCTGGTTTGGAATCTGATAAGCACAGTGCAGTAACTGTTAGTGATTCTGGGGATTATCTTCTCAAGGTCTCAAACCAGGCCTCCTAGGTTGGAAAGGAAATATTATAGGATTAAGAAGTAGGGTATTAAAAACACACAGGAAAGTAAAGGTATGTGTACAGTACATGTATAGTAAATGTAAGTAGAAGTTTGTAAGATTTACCTGTCATCTTACATGTTTATGAGACAGGATGAAAAGATCAGCAATCCTGCCAAGGTGTACATCATTTAACAGGTTTCCATTTCACATACATTTAACAAGCTGATTTTACCTGCCTGGATGGATGCTCTCTTCCAACCTACTACCTATGATTAAGTGAAAATGTGACCTGTTTCTCCTTTAGTTTTCATCTCCCACCAAGATAGGGTAACCCAAAATAAGAAACACATTCACCATCACTCATTCAATAACTGTCTTGCCAAAAGTGTTAATTGTTACTGTCATGTATTAATGTAAATATGTATATTATTATCTTATATTTTCAAATGTGATATTTGCTACAGAGGAGGCTAGCATTGCCATCAGTGCTAGTATTAAAGAGGGCCAAAGAGATGCACAGGAACAGTGAAAAGGGGAAACAAAATGAATTGGTATCATTTGACCTGAGGTTTACATAGATTGGTGATACCAAAAGTAAGTCCACAGGTTCTAGCTAAGAGCTGTCTGAAGCCCTCTTATTTACATTGCCACCTACAAACTAGATATAAAAATATATATAAGACATGCCAGTGGATTGTTTCAAATGTAATTTGGAATGGTTAAGAAAACTAACCTACTTTACAGAATTTTTTTCAGCTTTGAATGAACTGAATTTAAGTCTACAGGATGTTACTCCTACAGTGTTCAACACAAGATATGGGTGAAGCATTGATAAAAAATTATATTCTATATTTATCATATGCTTTCCAACTCTAGAAGAATTTATTGAAACAAATTAAATTGTCATGGATGAGCATGTAAAAGGCCTCAAAACTGAACACCTCAAGCACCTGAGTCATCATCTATGGAGGAACTTTTTACCTTGAAACCTATCTCAAACCTCAATATGCAGTCCATTTCAAGTGTCTTCCCTTCCCCTACCTCTAATTTCATGAGCAGGAGCAACTAATGGAGTTACTGTCTGATGGGGGACTGCAAATACAGTTCAAACAAAAATCACTTTTTGATTTTTGGACACAAGACATGGATATTTAGATTTATCTAAGCTAGCCTTGAAAATATTGAAGCACTTTGTCATGACATATCTATACTAGGCCAGTTTTGCACCTCTCACAGCATTGAAGAAGAAAAAATATCACCAATGGATGGATGCTGAAAAAAATATACGAGTGAAACTCCTTACTTGCTCCCAACTTTGCTGTTCTGTGTACTGAAATGCAGGACCATCCATTGCATTGATAGGTAAGTTTTTATTGTTATTGCTATCCAAAAGATGTCATAAAATTGTTTGTGTGAAATATGCACAATTATCCTTCAGTACAGCTAAAGGTGAGGGAGAGTGCAAGGACTTGGTCATTGTTTGGAAAAGGTACACTGATACAGAGAATTAACTTTATCAACCCAATTTGCATTGATATGCATTTGCTATATGGTTTTAAATGCTGTATCAATTTTATCATTTTTTTTTTAATATTAAATGCTGCAGTAGGCTGTCATTATACACAGAGGTTGCAACACCTTACATGTGGCAGTTTGTGTAATATTCAATTTAATATTTAGACATTACCCCCTATAATAAAGAATTAAGTATCAATACTGTACAGGGATAAAAGTCAGTTGCCTTCATCAGCATTGTAACTATTGCCACTATGCATCTACATGTTTCATAGCACTGTACAGTACTTTACATACTGCTATTTGCTCTTACCTCTTAAAATTCACCAAATAACATTGCAGTGTGTAATGTCAGATTGCCAGCTATGTCCTCATTTTTTTCCATGCATTCCAAGAAAAAAATTAACATTTGCCCAAAGAAAACAGCTCTTTAAATAAATTTCCATCACTTTATTTTTGTACAGTGCTTTGTTTACTTTGGTAATTGAGCTTTGGAAGTTGTTGTTAGGTTTATTGACTATACTGTACAGTGCTCAACAGTCATTAAGTATGCAGATTATGTACACTGATATATATACACCCAGGGCCCCTGGGCAACAGGCAGTTGCCCAGGGGTTCCCACATTTTAGGGGCCCCTTACAAAAAAAGTAGCCTATACTACTAGGAAAATTATAATTTATAATGGATAATTAAAAATGTACCATAATAGCATCAGTCTTCTGATGTTTAAATAGCGTGATTGAAACAAATTACTTGATTCTCAAATGTGTATGGATGATAGTAAGGAAATTATGGTATGATGGGCCAATTTACAAATCTAAGGTTCTTTAATGATCAAGTATTACCATCTGTTAAAATAACCTTTTCAAGACCTTGAACACTAAGTAGTACCACATACCTACACTGTGTGAGCCATGCTCAACTTTTGTGTTCAAACTAGGAAATTCTGTAGCTACAAAATAAATAGTAATATTAATGTAGTAGGATTAGCAACAATAATGATAACAATAATAATAATAATAATAATAATAATAATAATAAATATAGCAATAACAGTCATAATAATAATAATAATACTTTAATAATCACAAGAGTGATTGGGGGTTTCCCCCACAAACTGCCCAGGGGCCCCTACGTGAGTAAATCTAGTTCTGTATACACCTCTCAGTATATACATACAGTACTTTAACCTCTAATGTAGGGAGAAAAGCAAACTCGATATAAACACCCAGAAATACACTTTTTAGTGTATACATTCTCAAGCATTAGGAGAGGTAGCCAGGAATGGAAGCTCATCACATATGTATTTGTACCAATTTACAACTTGCTGGCACAAGTGACTTATGAAATCTTTTTTTGGGTTTGGACAAATCTAAATATTTTTAATGAAATACAGGTACTGTACAGTGAAATCCCACTTGTCCAAGGTACCTGGTGAACCTGAAGTTCTTCCTGCTTTGATGCTGATAGACTTTGATCTGAGGAATTGGTGCTGCTTTGCCCTTTCTTGGATCAAACCTGATTGTCTCCTATTTCCAGATGTTGTATGATCCCAGTGGGTTTAATGCTTCCCCATGAATATAATAATAATAGTAATGCAATGATTGCTTGTTTATCCAGATAAAGTATCATTTATTTAGCAGAAGAACTTTCCTTATGCCAAACTCATTTGCCTTTGCAGTCACACACATAGGCATACAAAATCAAACAAATAAAAATAAAATTACAATATTATTCTTCATTGTCTATAAATTAGACACATGTGCAACTCTTGGGTATCTTTACTGAGGAAACGTTTTGCCACACAGTGGCTTCATCAGTCCATACAAAGGAGAATGGTGAAGAACAGGAGTTTGAGGTAATCAGTCCCTCAGCCTTGAGTTGATGTGGTCAATCCATCAATCTTGAAAAGAATACAGCATATCTGTGGAGAAGTAGCTTATATACCATAGGCAGGAGAGGTGCAGCAGTCATAGGTGGTATCACCTACGGTTTGCCACACAGTGGCAAATGTTTCCTCAATAAAGATACCCAAGAGTTGCACATGTCTAATTCATCAGCGTGTCAGTTCTTTGAACCATTCATTGACAATTGTCTATAAAAATGAAAGCAATGCAATATATTTTTTTCTGGAAAAGATGCTCGGTCCATGTTTCTTATTTTTCAAATGTATTCCATACGGTCAAGGAGGTTATCCTTAAGGAGGTCAATAACAGTAGGAAAGTGACTGATATTGATCATTACTTCATTACAGCCTAATATATATAGAATAACTTGTCAATCATGGCTCAGCATTTGCAAGGCAAAGTTTTGCTTTTACTGTACTAGACAGTATATTTTAGTTTATTAAGCTACTAGTATAAGCATTTTTCTTAATACAATAAACTTGTAGTGTTCATACTGCATATAGTTTTCAGAAGTCAATACAGGTACTGCCTTTCAAAAAAGGATTTCTTGATGCTTGTGAAGAACTTTTGTCAAAGGAATGGAACTACCTGCCCTTTCATTCAAATTGATTACTTCTTTCCCCTGGGGTTTTACAGCCTTACAGCTTTAGCTGCCCTAAATTAAGGTACTGCATGCACATAATGTGTAAAAAGTAAATTTTTTCCCGAAATATCTTCCCATCTGTGTGATGTGATGAACCAACAGGTGTAAGAAATTAAGGTAAAATTTTTGTTTTCAGTTTAATTCTAAAAGTGTTTTTGTTTGGAAATAATCAAAATATGTAATGTTTAACAATAAAAAACATTGGGGACTAAAAATAGGCTCACTTTTTGCAATTTTATTTAAATGAGATTGATCAGCCAAATTTAAATCTGATAGGTGGGAATTCACTGTAAGAAAACTTTTGTTTCTTGGAAATTACTGTTTGAGTAGTATATTATATTGTTAAATAGTATTTTTATGTACGAATTCCAGATAAGGATTAAACTTTTTATACCGGGTAGTAATTTGCTCGTTGTTTTGTAAGCTGAGTATAATTTTTAAATCAGTATTATCAGTACCCTATTCATTATAAATTTGGAAACGTGTTACCCCTTCAGGCTAATTTGTGCTTCTTCGTGAAATTTAAAAAAAAATGATCACAAAAATTGAATGCATGCTGTACCTTACTTTTAAAAAAAGAAATTTTAAACCCCCAGTATTTTTGCTCTTTATATTTTTCGGGAAATAATTTATCATCTCGGATTTGTATATGTAATTTGAGGCAAATGGAATTTTTTATTACCTTAATTTTTTATGTTGCCACAATATTTAGATGGATATAAGATTTAAATTTTAAATGCTCCTCAGATCAGATTTTTTTTTTCCCAAAATACATTTGGCATGATTTATCTTGTTCTAATTATAGCTATATCTATAAACTGAGGAAGAACTTCCAAACAAATACAGTGGTACCTCGAGTTTCGTACAGCTCCCAACTCGAACAGTTAAGTAAACGTATTATTGTAAGTGCTTTTGTAAGTGTATTTTTGGGGGTCTGAAATGGACTAATCTAATTTACATTATTCTTTATGGGAACAAATTCATTTAGTAGCGGCACTCGAACAGCCTTCTGGAATGAATTAAGGCCGAAACTCTGGGTACCACTGTACTAGAAAGTGTCTTCACTAGCCGTGGTAGAACATGTAATGGTTAATAAGAGGCGATAGTAAATGATACATACAATCACTAAGAACCCAATACTGTACGTCAAATTAAAAATTCAAGATGGAACTCCCTGCACCAGTTTCTACAAATAGGTATATTAATCAATTTATGCACACAGGAGCATCTTTACACAAAACCATATAAGATCACACATCCATACTCATAGATGTAGATAACTATGCCCACAGTTATTTTGTGTTGTGATTAATCAGAAGATTTATAGAAGCACCTTTTTCAAATGTTAATTTTAACATTTGCATCATGTTGATAAGCAAGCCAGGTGACCTCAGTAAACCATGGAAACACTATCATTGGTTATTTCTGTGTACTGTATATTGTCACCACAGCATTACTTGCTTTTCTTCTATATTTTATCTGTTTACATTTTATTATTATATTGTCATTATTATTATTATTATTATTATTATTATTATTATTTTATTATTATTATTATTTTTATTATTTTTAATATCGGCTTCGATCCCCCCAAGGGGATGGTGACCTAATAAGAAAAACTAAAAAATTTTTCCTTTTTTTTTTTTTTTTAAATTTTTTAAATTTTTTCAGGAGGGGTAGTTCTGCCCTGACTCCCCCATTTTAGTGCTTCTTACGACACGCAGGCTTGGAAGGGAGAAAATTCTTTCCCTTTCCCCGGATTTATTTTTTTATTATTATTTTTTTTTTTTTTTTTTTTTTCAAAAAGTCGGTCGTTTCCACGAGGCAGGGTGACCCAAAAAAGAAGAAAACCCCAAAAAGAAAATACTTTCATCTCATTCAACACTTTTTTACCACACTCGACATTTTCACTGTTTTTGCAGAGGTGCTCAGAAAACAAAAGTTAGAGCATACACATATAAAGATACAAAATTCCCCCCAAACTGCCAATATCCCAAAAACCCCCCTTTAAATGCAGGCATTGTACTTCCCTTTCCCGGGTCAAGTCGACATATGAAAAAAACCGGTTTTCCCGAATCCCTTTACTAAAAAATTACCCCGCTCACACTCCAAAAAGATCGTAGGTCCCCCGTACCATTCGTCTCCATTCACTCCTATCTAACACGTCATGCACGTTTTGCTGGAAGTCCAAGCCCTTACCCAAAAACCTCCTTTACCCCTCTCCCAACCCTTTCGAGGAGCCCCCTACCCCCCCCCTTCCCTTTCCCCTATAGTTTTTATATGTTTTCCCATGTATTTACTTTGATCCTTTCTCTCTAAATGCCCAAAACCCCACCTAACAACCCCTCTTCTGCCCTCGTAATATTTTATTAATCCACCCTTTCCCCTAATTTCCACACCCCGAATTTTCTGATAATATTAAACCCCACACATTCCCCTTAAACAGGACATCTCCACTGCTCAACCTCTCCTCGCTGCTGCTTTTTACCCCCGTTCACACCCATTAAGAGTTTGGTACTACTTCTTTCATACATTCCCCTTCTTTCCTCATAGTAACGTTTTTTTATCCCCCATTCTAAGCACCCCCTCCCCCTTTTTTCCCTTCAATTCTATGATTAACCTATCCTTCTAAATCCACCCGCCGACACGTCAATCCCCAAGTATCGAAAACATTCACTTCTTCCATACCCCTCCTCCCCAATTTGATACCCAATTTTTCTTTATCTAAATCATTTGCCCCTTCCCCTTACTCTTTTCTATGTTCACTTTCAACTTTTCACTTTAAACTTTCCCCAAACTACCCCACAAACCTTTGGAATTTTTTTCTTTAGAATTCCCATAAGCACAGTATCATCGCAAAAAGTAACTGTGTAAATTCCCCATTTTAAATTTTGTTTCCCCAAAATTTTAATCCCCCCCTTTCCCCAAACACCCTAGCATTTACTTCCTTTACCCCCCCATTATAAATTATTAAACAACCATGGTGACTTTACACATCCCTGCAAAGCCCTCTTTTCGGGAAGTGTTCCCTCTCTTTCCCACCCTAACCTGAGCCTCCCCCTTTCATAAAAACTCTTTACGCATTTAATAATTTTACACCTATTCCATTATTGCAACATCTGCCACATTGTCTCTATCCACTCTATCATATGCCTTTTCTAAATCCAAAAATGAAATAAAAAACTTCCTATTTTTATCTAAATATGTTCAATATTGCTTCAATGTAAACACCTGATCTACACATCCCCCCACCCCCCTCTTAAACCTCCTTTCTCATCCGCAAACTACATTTTGTTTCCCCTAATTTTTTCAATTTAACCCTCGTACCTTTTCGGTTTTCTAGTAAAACTTATTCCTCTATAATTTTTACAGTCTCTTTTGTCCCCCTTTCCCCTTTTATAAAGGGACTTACATGCTCCTGCCAATCCCTAGGTACCCCCCCCTTTTATAAAATTTTTTAAAAAAAAGTAAAAACCACTCCAACACTATATCCCCCCCTTTTTTTAACATTTCTATATGATCCTCAGTTCCAGCTGCTTTACCCCCTTTCATTTTAAGTAAAGCCCCACGTACCTCCCCACACTTACATTTGCCCCTTCTTCCCCTCCTTAAAGATGGTATACCCCCTGCCAGTGCATGAAATTACTG